ATTCATCTATACCACCAAAGCTAAATCAAGAGGATTTAACTTGCAAGGGTATCAATCTAAGTAGGAGGTTCCACACTCACAACCTGATTATGTCCCAAAGGCTATATCACACTAGAGACTCAAGTTCCAGTGTGAAGGGGGAGGGGCATTGACAAACAGTTCCTAAGAGCAGACTTCATAAGGGAATAAACAAAGATAGGAATGCTTCAGGAAGTGAGCAAAGTAGTAGGTTATCAGTTCAATATACAGCAATAAATTGTGTTATATCAAAAAGAAATGTTAGTTACCTTTATTTGACTGGGGTGTGCTACCACATCTATTTATATTTTCCTTAGTATTCTTTTTTGTTGTTGTTTTTAGGTTTTTCATACAATATATTTTGGTCATATTCTTTCCCTGCCTTCAACTCTTTTCAAAATTCTCCCTGACTATCCATCCAACTTCTTATTTTTTATCTTAAGAAAAACAAAAAAATTAAAACAAATAAAAAGCACAAAAATTATAGTGGCCACAATTTTAAAACATGACTAGTATTTAGAAAAATATCTAATGAGAGATGGAAAGCCTTCAAGGTAAAATTTTACAAAATTATTAAAAGATATATTAAATCATCCCAAACTTAAAATGGTAGCATCATCTTCATAGTTTAAAAGAAACAATTTTATAATGGTATTAATTATTGTAATTGATAAATATTCTAATTTAATGAAAATGAGAATTCCATATAATATTTTAAGATTTAGTATAATCATAAAATTAAAGTGTTTTTCTTCTTGGAATTTGACAGCTATAAAGAAATAAAGGGGAAGAAAATAAAATTATTTTGAAGGATGAGCTGGTTAAAGTTCCTCTATATACCATTAGGACCTATGGGATTGGAGAGATGGCTCAGTGGTTAAGAGCACTGGTTGCCTTGCAGAGCATGGGAGTTCAATTCCCAGCACCCACATGGTATGTTACAGCCGTCTATAACTCAATTTCCTGGGGATCTAATGCCCTCTTCTGGCCTCTGAGGGCACTGCATGCACATGGTATACAGACATACAGGCAGGCAAACACCCACATACATATTTTTAAAATACACTAGGACCTATAATAAAATCATAAAAATTACTTTTCCATGGGCTGAGAACAGAGACCAATGGTGGGAAACAGACTATGCAGAAAAAACTCATTTACACTAACGTGTTTCTCACCAAGTTAGTTCAACAGAACTGTAGGGGTAAATTACTAGAGGAACGGTGTGTGTGTGTGTGTGTGTGTGTGGGTGGGTGGGTAGGTGGGTGTGGTGTGTGGGGGGGGGGGTGCACGCGCGCGCTTTTCATAGAATAATACCCTGCCAAGATATACAACCAATACCTACATCCAAACTGTAGGTTCCTATAAATCAATTAAGAGAAAGTAGAAGAGTAGCCCAAAGCTCAGCTGCATGTAATGAAACAGAAATAAGCAGGCATCAAACATACTAAAAGTTCTTAACTCCATCAGCTAATACTGCAGTTACGTGAGTGAAATGGAAAAGCCTGGGAAGAGAGGCTGCAAAGCAAAGGACCACAAAATAAGCCCACATGCCAGTGGGAGCCTCTGTGCACTGGAACTGGAGCCCTAGATGCACACAAGCGATTAATAGCAACATCCAAGGAGGAAGCGGGTTTGAGGGCATTCACAGCAATTAAACAGGGAGGAATGCAAATGACTACCAGCTGTGGAATGAATAGAGAATTTGGGGTGCGTTAAAATAATGTAAAACTACTTAATACAAATGAATTACGGTGTGGCTATCTAGAACAAAAGTGCATTATCGTATGATACCCTGTTGAGTGGAAGACGCCAGGCAGAAAGGAGACGTACTATGAGCAAACAAGGCTGCCGAGTTGAGGGATCTAAGCTTAGTGTATCAAGATTCTACTTAAACATGAGGAAGACACTCCTAGGCCAAGGTGGCTTCCCTGGTGCAGCAGGTAGGTGTGATGATAAAGGGGCACATGGGGCTTCGAGGCGCTGACAGCATTGTGTAGTTTTACCCTGGCAGTGTTTGTGCGGTTGTTTGTGTTATATAATGAACTGACATCACATATATATTCTGTTATATTTTCCTTATTTTACACTAAAAACAAATAAATGAAGAAATAGTAGAGATGAGATCTGGTGAAACAGGTGTGTGTCTATC